GGCACTATATAAGCTACGTTCGTCGGAATCAGAACAAATGGTATCGATGTGACGACCATCAGGTTCGATTGCTAACACATTACAGGAGTCCTGTTCAGCTTATCTTCGTTTATTTACTATTTATTTCTTTAGATCAAGGAGGTACACTACAGTGACGTGGTAATGACTGAAGCTTACCTTTTATTCTACCAGCTTACACAACTACGTCTCAAATAGACTAATTTGATGTGGTTCGTTTGCTTGCTCAACGGCTTCGTGTGGATAGTTTGGTATGAGCTGTGACAGCTCATAAAATTTTGAAGCTTGGTGCTACCGAGGATGTAATTTTTATTGAATTTGAATACAGTGTCGACATTCCTACGATGCGTGCTCATTCGATTAGGGTGGCGCGGTCACAAGCTTCCCCTGATACCGTTCGTTTTTCTAGCCATTGTAAACGTCGCCGTAACGAAATGTCGTATTGGTGTGATAGAAAAGTGCCACCGCGTGATACTCTCTTATGTTGCTCGGCCCGAAGCTGTTTTTTTTGAGGACTTTGCCCGGAGATGAGTACAAGCACTTTACGAAAAGGAAGCATCGGTTAGGAGGTCGTGTTACCAGTTGTTACGTGCGTAGCATTGACATGAAGGCCCGACTGGTCAGACACGGAAGTGCTGCCATATGTCAACCAGTTAGGAAGTACTGCACCTTTTTTTCTGCGCATTAGTGCATCCCCCTAACTGATGATCTGAACTGAGCACTTTCTGTATACAATACTGGGTTTTTGCCCATGCTTAACTGTACATTACAGCATTAGTTTGCGCAAGTTTCACTCTTTACCGTAAAAATGTCAAGTTGTCAGGAATGGTACCGCTGTTGAGCGTGCTATCCTTTCCATGGATTGTTTACGAAATTGCACTCGTCACACTTGCATAGTTTACTGTGATTTGTTTACCGGCTTGATTTATTTTCGTTGTTGTTCTCATTTTGCTTTACCTTAATTTTGTTGAGTTCGCATTATAACACTGACTGCAATAATTGTTGTACATAGATTTGTTTTATTGGTTTTTATGTTGAAATTTTTTTAGAAAGATTTGGTACCTTACATAAGTCTGTTTCGGCTAGATTATTAGTTTTCGATTGCTACCTTTATGGGTACTGATTCTACCAACTGACTGTTTGAGCAACGTTTGCTATACATCATTCTAGGCCTCATTTTAGAATTCGCAACGAACAAGAGGAGTTGTTTTAGCGAGAATAAAAGTGTATTTTTATGCAATATTGTGGTTTAAAAAATGATCGTTCCTTCATTGAAAGGAAATATTTGATTCCCTTCCAATGGGGCTGATTTCAGTCGTAAGGAGGGGACACTAGAGTCCTTGTGTAAGCACGATGCAATATCAAGGCGCAAGCCCTTCACACTGCCCCTAACCTCTCTACGGGGAGCATGGCGGATCATGTCTGGTGGCGAACTCGAACAATGCTACGTATTTGCGACAGCCTGAGACAGCCTGCTGAATTCCTAGGTCTGTGAGAAACACATATTTGCAGCCTTAATACTATACAATCCGCTTTGCTGACGAAAAATTCTGTAAACAATAACACTCATAAACAGTAACTCGAGCCAGAGACAGGTAGTGACAAATGCCCGCCGCTACAATCGCGTCAGGTCGCTGGGTCAAGTCCCGGTCGGAACCGCCCGGCGGCAACCAAGCCTTCTTTCCTCCGTGAACGGTGAATTGCTGTAAATGCCATTCGTACCGGGAGGATAAAACACTGGCTTGTACAAGGGGTGGCCCAGCAAGTCATTGTATGAGCCACATCGCATTGAATAAGCTACTACGATTCTGGATGGAAGTAGAATGCGTGCCGTGATCGACGCCCAAAGATCCTTCATCCCTTATCGAGCAAGAACAGCGAATGTTGGCTGATTTTGACTGCGCGATGGAGAAATCGGTTTGCAGCTGATTCTGACGAAGACGATGTCTATGGAGAGGGTTTCTGATAAGCCATTTCCGCTCAAATGAGACGAACATCTCTGAATGCCCTAGCTGTGCGTCATAGGCCGGGGAAACAATATGAACAAGTTTAGCACCAGTGCTGAGTAGGAGGAAACGAGCAGCTTGGGAGCTTTGAAGAACATCGAGGGAGTACCGAAGAAGCCTAGAATACCCAGTTTTGGGCCCACTTCCGATTTTGCGGTTCTTCTAGCTTTACCTCAAAGACTTGGACTCTAGGGAAGCAGATGAGCATGGCCGTTTGCGTCATTCAATGCGCCATCGAAATGCACTCGGAGTTTTCACGCGCTATATGCAAGTGAGAAAGGCAATACGTGACTCTGCACTTCGTCGACGATCGAGAGACAGGAGCTTGCGTCATCTGCCGAGGTGTCGAAGATCAGATGGGCCAGGAACGTCATGCGCTTGAAAGATGATTGCTGGGTCAGAGCGGTGTTGCCGGACGGATTTCCTCGGTTTTTCAAAGGAAGCCTGGATTATCCACTTACTCGTTAATCCGAGTTGATTCATGAAAGCGCTACCTTGTAAGGTTGATCATCTCATGTCCCTCGGCACAGAGAACGCCTACAGGATGACAGACAGGCTATAAACTCTACTGTGTTTTCCAGCTTCTCTTCATTCATTGTTGGTAAGCATTAGAGGCGTTTGGATTGTAAAGACTCTCGCATGAAAACATCGAGACGAGCACGTCCGTCATTTCCCATATGACGCTCTGTTCGGTCATTGTTCGCTCTTGCGAGCTATAAAGTCACCAGTGCTACGTGCGCCTCGGCGTTTCGATACGTGTAAGGGGACGCTATATGTATATTTATTTATTTATTTATTCTATTTATTTACACCATGAGGTGTGCCACAAATTGCTATCCTAGTATAAACGCGCTGAAACCTAATATTTCAACTAAACACTGAGAGGGAGGAAGATCACCACGCTATTTCGATACTACTCGTCCTGAGAGAGAAAAAAGGATTATGTGAACTATTGAAAACTTGTAAGTATAGTCCTCCCCTCGACAGTTGATGAGGCCAGCTGCAAGATCGACCTTTCAGAACGCAAGATTGTCGTAATACTGGGCCATAACTGGGTGCCGGCTGACGGACTTAACCCGAACGACCGGTCATCCGTCGGACCCCAGGCGAACGAGGGATCTCAAGCAGGGGGTTTCATCTGCTCTGGAAACCTTTGAGTATTACTTTGAGGATAACAATTACTTTAGACACATTTGAGGATCATCAGACTACAGTGGAACAATATCAAGTAATCAAACTTCGAATGAAAAAAACAAAAACACTAAGGATTCAGATTTTTAGCATAAGCAGTGTGCCATCCTTCTTTAGCATATATGGTGAAAACAAGAATATCAATGTGAATACACACAGCAAGAATTTAAATGTTACAATTTCCTATCGTGGCACCAAACCTGGTGATAGATTCTTGCTAGTGGTAATATTGCACATTCCAGAAGGAGAAAACACCCTCCACGTTCATAAAGAAAACTATAGAACTCAATTCTTTCTTTCAGAATACATTTTAAAATACAAACGAGGAACTTGGAAGAATATCCTAGAATTTCTTGCAATAACCATTGTTTGCTCGAACAAGTTAAAAAATGTCTGTGATGCCAATAGTATGTAAAATGTCGATCCTTTCAATAGCTTTCTTGAACTGCCTTGAACTTTTGCTGGCTAAAATTGACCGAGGAAGCTTGTTTAGCCATTTACTGGTTCTGTAAAGAAAGTGTATTCGGTTGCAGCGGTTTTGGGCACTCGTATTTTGGGAACGGAGTTGGAAATGCATAACCATCGTCTCCCAGAAGAAGGTCGAATTTAGTATTTGATAGGTCGTATTCTTAGTTTATTATGAGTAAGATCTCTAATTCGCTACTGGTTGACTTATGGAATAACGGATTCCCGCGTCTACGGTGGAACAAAGGTGGCGGCCTTGGCGTTCTGTTGTGTGGGGTTCTCGGTTGACTATGTCATCGGAAATGCTGGGGTGTGGGTTAGGGCTTGGCGGGGTCTCTCAACCTCGAAACACTTTAAGGGCTCTGAAGAAGACGATTAGTCAAAACGTCAGGCCTGTAAATAAATAGTTCCATTTGAAAACCTCGTGGGGCACAATATAACACACTGAATTATTTGGAATCTACCTGTGTTTAAATTTACTGCATACATACCAATTACAACATGGGGGGCAAAAAAAAGTCACTTTGCATCATTGACTTTTGAGGCGCTATAAGTTGCACTTTATAAAAGTCTGTTCGGATATTTTTACCGACCATATTGAAGAGCATATCAAATACTATCATGACACTCCGCCACAGCCTTCTGGACGAGCGCCATCGAGAGATTCTGGCACGCGACCGCGATGTGGTGCCTGAGATCAGCGAGATAGTCGATTTTTCCGCCACTGCTAGCCACACAATTGAACTAAGTTCGATTTCTCCGCCACCGTAGACCACCCTATTGAACTCCGCCCGAACCGGGTAATTGAGGGGATTCAGGTCAGGTGACCTACTTGGATATTCCATCTTCTTAGGTACTCAGCCCCCTTCCATTCCAAGTAGGGCGAGACCAGACGAGTCACCGATATGCGTCACAATAGCAAACAACGAGTAACTGAAGTACAGATCTCGAATGATTTGACTTCCTATTCAATGCGCCTTCTTTCTTATATATTTCTTTATATTCCCACTAATTTCTGCACTCCTCCGTTGAAAACAGAAGATGCGCCAGAGTGAAAAGGAAGAAAGGGGACCGATATCAACCCAATGGAGACAAAGAGTCCTTTTACCTGAAGGGGGGGGGGGGAGGAGGGAGTGCTTTGCGGATAAATCTATTTGAAAAACGATTGATTTATCCGGATGAGCGCAATCTCAGTTTAGCTCAAGGAGCCCTATAAATCCCCTGCAAGGTGTTTTAAAGGGTCCCTCGTAACAAGTACAGGGTAGTTGGCCTTCTGTCCTTGATTACTTAATCACTAGTTCAAGCTAACACTGTTTCCACGTATGGTAATCACAACAGTTCTTCAAAAGAGAGCTTCAGGGATGTGGGGGAAAAGCTTGTAAGTGGTAGAATATGTAATGAAGAACTTACGAGTGATTTTTGTGACTAATCATTCCAGCAGAAGTGCGAGGATCAAAGAGAGAAGGATTGTCGAGAAATGCTGACGTGAAAGGAGACATGTCGGACTCCAAGTCAAACCTACAAGACGGCGACAATTTGATTTGAAAGAACACGATTTCAAATCACAATACCCTGTGAGAGTCCAAAATCACAGAAAGCAGCCTAACCCGTCTAGAGCTTTCACCCAGCTGGCGAAAAGAACGCAAACGAAATAAGATTACTTTCGCTCAAAATGGACTGCGTGGAAAAATAATGACGAACTTTCGACAAGGGAGAAAGACATCTAATGAAAATTGTCTCCATGGACCTTTACTGTCTCCTCAGGGCATGCCATCGCGTTGTGATCATTTCCTGAAAAATACTACCGTCCTAGTTCCATCCTCAAATACGACCCCGTCGTAATCATCACAATGATGGCGTGCCCTGGTCTAACTCCATCAATTTCTTATAATTTCTTATGATAAGCTCAAACAAAGCGCGTCAGCGTTGAATATCTTTCACCAATCCCCCTGTTCACAAGCTCAGCATAGGTTTCAACGCAACCCACCATACAACCGTGCTGTTCTTCCCGGTAGCAGATGGACTAAACCGTTTCAGGTGAAAAACGATCACAGATGGCAGAACTCTGAAACAGCAATAGTCTAACATTCGGAATACCAGTAAGAATTGAAAGGGCGAGTGTTTCTTATTCAGAAAAACTGACTGCCCCACTTTACAAATTACTAACTCACTTGAAACTCATTCGGCGTGTCGCTCGCATGCATCCACATCTCTCGCAGTTTCGGTCCAAATCCTCTCTGGCGCAGAACCTGTAAGTAATGGTATTGGAGGTAGTGTGTACATTATCAGAATAAAGGCAGTGATGTCAAATTTGAATAGCGAGGTCACGGCTGGGGACCTTTCTGGAGAAAGCAGTGAAAACAACCACCAAAAACACCAGAAAAGATTCTCTCTTCTCGAATATCGCAAGAAATTTCGGGTCAATCCATTTGCATGCAACATGTCTTCGTTCATACACTCACCGCTTACCATTATCATACTGTTATTCGTAGCTCGCGGCAACTGCAATAACTCACCAACAGTGACTGCACTCAACAGGAAGAGCACGTCGACTAACGGGTACCGTGACTATAGCGTGGCGGCTGGCGATAATTAGAATGAAATAGTGAGTGAACAACAGCTTCCCTTTGGCGCACCGATGAATGCTTAAGCCTTAAGATTAAGCATTGCGCACCTGCCATTTAAGCAACTCAGCGCTATCTGCAATGATTTCTTGACGGTTCCATTATTTTCCACACACTGGATTTACTCAAGGGTAGAGCCCCCCTTTAAAGATAGTGAGTTATGCGGATCAGATAGCAACTAAAAGGTACCATGCGATCCAGTAGTGAAGACAAAAAAAGCAGGAAAACCCATGGGAAATGCCCTTTATAATACCCCATGCCGAACTGAGGTTGTACGTCAAAGGAGATGGGCGCAATCGGACGAGTTCTCATTTGTTGCGCCAGCTCTTTCTCCTAATTACCTCAATCTCACCATTCGAAGTGGAAAGATCAGTAGCGGAACAACCGCTCCATCACGTAACGCGACAGTCACTGGGCACGGCGACAGTTCCTTCGCGAGCGGGCGGCGCTTTACTCTCGTATTTTCAGCTGCGCAATAAGTACAACCTTCACCCTTGTGGGGAGGGCTACCGTATCCAAAGAAGGCGTGGGAACATCAAATGAACGCGGGTTTTGCCTTCAACAAAAACTATGCGAAACTCAAACGCATCAGAAGTCTACAATCAGGAGGCAGGAACTTCTGCACTCAAACCAGGTCCTCCCTGTATCTGCCATTTCACACATCATTTCGACAGGGTTTTTCGTGGCAAATGTGGTCTGGTCGACTGTGAGCGTGACCGTTAACTACGCCACTTGTAGACAATCTAAAGCTGTCCTGTCTCTAATGGTAAGAACCAAACACTTACATTTCGAGGCAAGTTTTGATTCCAATCTGATCAGATGGGGTTGTTGCCGGAACAATTAGTGAGACATCAAGGAACGGTTGAGTAGATGATGATATCGATCTGTCAAATAAAACAAGTGCGACAGCTTCAAAAATAAAATGATTTTCAAGCTTTCGCTTGCAGAGACTTACGAGCATTTGTTGCAGATGATATCTGAACGCAGCTTGCCAGTAAAGGTTTGATGGACGATGCACTTGCACGCATCTGTTTCAGTAACTGGAGAGGAGGAAAAAGGCGCTGAAAATACTACTGATTTCGGTACAGTCAGTAATCAATTCAAATTTTTTTCCATTCCAGAGCCCGTTGTAGGTAATCATGATTTGCTAGCGAATTTGATGATTTTAAGGAAAGTTATTCAATGGAATTTTCGGAGTAAGTGGAGTCAATAATGTAGATTAGTTTTCGCTTGCACGTGCTTTCAGACGGAACCTGAACAGTACAAATATCTGTTTTGTGTCGATTCGACTTCAGGGCTGAGGAGGAGTAAAAACGATAATAAGAATAAAAAAATGAAAATGACGCCCTGAATCCAAGTTGGACTCGCAGGATCATTGTTATTTAGGGCTCTGCAAAAGCAAGGAACCGATGAGGCCTGAGCATTAAGCACGACGAGTAGATTTCAGTGCAGCGAGTGGAATCAGGTACACCAACACTCATAATGCAATGAAAACGCCACTTCAAGGTTGACATAACCAGGTCCCTATGAACCAGGCAAAAGGTCCCCTTATGGAAAGATAACCATTAAAGCCTTAGTCATAAGATTCACATAGGATAAAGTCAGCCAACTGTGAAATGCTACTGAAAAAAGCCCCAATGGTACTTTTGGCTCCGAATATCAACCGACTTAATTTCAGATAGACTTTCCATTCTGCGAGCAACTGGGGAGCAAGGTGCGGGTGTATGGTTGATCTGGTTGCCACTGTTAAGCGAACTTTTTTGCACCCTCTGCATTTCTTCAGAAGTTCGTTAGAAAATGTAGTGGGTCACTACGAACGGAAAATAAACACTGATATCAGTCCAAGTGATTTACCATTGTAATGCCGATGTAGGAGATCATGAACAGCAAGAAAGAATTCATGCGCATCTTGCTGACCTCCCATGGACATTTGTGACTGCTCCCATACAATATGTAAAACGTCGGAACGGAGCAACAGGATCAGAAGAGTCACCACGATGAAAATCCTTCGTAGCAACTATTACTCATTGACAAGGAAAGTACCAAAGCCAGGAAAATTAACCGAAAAAATACCTGCATTAATTGATGCATCGTACACATCAAACACGTGCCGGGAGGTCGCTGGCAGCAATGCTGGTCGGACAGGAAATAGTCTCTCAACACTGGGGTGTGGACAAGGGCTTGAAGTACGCTGTTCATGTAGCATGTCGAACCCATATTCAAAAGACCTCGCAGTTCTTAAGAAGGGAAATTATTTTATCTGTCAAATGAGAATTGGATTCTCCTAAAGTTCTCAGCAAAACGACGGAGAAGACCATAATAAGAATGTTAAGGAGACATACGTGCATGATGTCCCACTCGAGTCATCATGTCCCATGCTTTAATATCAGCATCAGTCGGATTCCATGACACTAACTTGCAGAGGCCCAATCTTGTTCTGTAAAAGTGATCAATCCCGAGATAATCTTTGTAAAGAAAAGTAAGTTAGATTACAAAAGGTAATAAAAAATAAAAATAAAACTTCCCGACCTAAACTTAGCCGAATAGAGAAATAGAGTATACTATGTGGCGAATCACCCCTGGTACTTGTTCATCGCTCCACAGTTCGCATAACCTCCAGCACACGATTATACGCCCCTCAAAACGACACATCGGACACACCAAGTCACAGTACACAAAACCGGTTTCAATAGACATAGCTGGAAAACACAAGTTTCTCATAAAAAAGAAGACATAAGTTTCTCATAAAAAACATGAAATCAAGGAGTAAGAATGCTAGGATTGAATAGAAAAGTCAGCAAACGGACTTTAGAGCGAGCCGTTTTCGTCGAATTCATTACATTGACCCTCTTTGACTCTTCCACACTTCCAGAAGATCCTTATGGGAGTGAACACCACTTCTGCCCGTCTTTCCCAGCTTAACTAATTTCCAGGAAAGCCCAACTTTCTGAGGTTCAAAATAGAACCAAAATGAAGGGAAAGATATCTGTGAAGTCAAGTATGAGTCAGGAAAAAGAGCAGACCATATTCAATAACTGGTGAGAAGAGGATAAATGGAAAGGGAGCTTGAGTGACTTTGGAGAACATGGCTGACAGAATATGCACAACAGACGTACCCCTCCATATGGCAGAAAGGCTAGCTTACCGAATTCGTGCCGATTTTCTCGAAGATGTTTCTTCATATGCATCAAACAGAGAAAAGAACTGCATCGTGAGCAACACATTTGTAAAGGAAGTCGAGACATACGTTTCTCGGGAGGGCATTCTGAACAACGTGTTGCTCCCATTGTTACCTGGAAAAGTGATCAATTCAAGTTCTTGTCGTTTCAAACCATTTGCAGATCAGCAGGTTCTGTCCCAGGGCGTGGCTGTTGACTTAGCAAACAAGAAATAACCACGAACTGTGCAGTATACTTCAAAGAAAACCCAAGATCGGATCTTGGGTTTGATCGGCGAACCGCGTGCGCGATACGGGGTGCACTTGCCACTACAACGCCCCACCCACCAGATGCTAATTAATGGCCATAATTACACGTAAAACGTACCGCTGTAACAGCATAGCTATCGGTTCTGGGAAACGCGCATTTATCGGCAATCACAGCATACCAACTTCGTAACCTTTTCTTCTCACCAGGTGCACTAGGCATATGAATACACGATGAGGACATCGCAATAATTCCAACCACTCTGCTATTCTCTGAAATTATTACTCTATGAAGGATGAATGTAGAGCACAGAATACATTTTTTCTAAATAATTTATTTATTTCTGATGGTCATCACATGCGATTTACTTCCGAGAGCTTGAAAGTGAAGCGTTGTGAAAAAACAAAGAGAAAATACTCAAATATAACTACTGCCTTCGGGTCTTAAACATTAGAGCACTTTAGAAGTAAACTGGCCAGGTGCATTGGTTTCGCTTGTAGAATCTCTCGATAACCAAGTCCCTCGAAGGGGCGCTAGCAACACCTCCACTCGTGCTTGTTGAAAGCAGTCTAAGGAATCCTCTTCGCTCAGGAGAAGGAATGAACTCATTCCTCTCTTGCAACGATTTTATCAACAAGTTCGGCCTATCGAATGACTGTCCTTCCGCTGCTCGCTTGAAATAGTGACCAGATGACAAACGCATCTTCGATTCCTCGGCAAATTTCCGTGACATCTGATCGCTGGGGGACGGCCAAGGGAATCGTAAACTGCAGTTTCATTGCGTGCGGCAATGGACGCCACGTTCAGTTTGCACTACCCTTTCGATTGGATTAGATTTAATTTAATATTGATTAATTTAAGAGATTTAATGTAGACAAGGACATGGGAGACATGTACGTCTCTTTTTGGTCATTCATTGTCTACTCCACCGATACCACCTATTTGAAATGGTCATCATCGCAGGCGCGATGTCGCACATGACATCCACTGGCGCGTCGAATTGCGATTCTTTTGCCACATACCCCTAATCGCTAGCGGAGTAAACTCCAAATTCCCTTTTGTGTCCACTTGCAGCGGGAAGCTCAGTATAGTCCTTTTCACAGCATGCTGAATGATCACATGCACCGCAGAACCCAAATAGGGGGGGACTGGATTCTCGCCTCTTTCCTAATGTTTTTAAATGCACCCTATCTCGCCCGTTTCCCCCTGCTTATGGTTAGCTCGACAGGTCCATAGTCGTCCATTATACTGTGTTCCATTACAGGAACATAATTGATTCATATGATAGGATTCCCTATGATTTCAGCAACAACTCTAAACCTTATTTGAGGTTGTTAGCCAATTTTTGCGCCATTCGACCTCCTCAAGTCACACGTGTAACGCAATTTCGTACCAAGCCAGCCTATGCTTCACTAATTATGTAATTCAGTGAGAAACGTGAGGTGTACTAACCTTTACTGAGCAGACAAGTTCTACAAAGAAATTTATTTCACGTAAAAGTATAATTTCATCCTTGAGATATGAAATCAACAACGGCAAGTCAACAAACACCAAAATAGAGTCGCAAGTAACAGTTTCAAACGTACATTCCGTAGATGAACCCATTTCAGTTGTTTTTAGTCTTCACACTAGGGCTTGAAGATTTTCGTAAAAACTATCATGACTGATAAACGAGTAAATTCATTCCTAACGAAAACCATTCGTCAGCGCTCATTTAGTCTGAGCAAAAGCGCTGTTTATCGTCGAAATGATCACACCTTCTCCGGAGAACAAGAGCGTCATCCCGCAATAAAAGTGGCTCTTATTCAAACTGATGAAATGAACTGCAAATGCAACCAATATTTTTCGCAGGACAGAACAATACTGCATAATCACAGACAAATATGATGTGAGGAAGCCTCAAATAAAGGTTACTATGGAGCGATTGCCACTAGAAAGAAAACCCGCGATGTTTAATAACAAAAAAATCCTTATTAAAAGTCCAAAAATGTGGACATCAGCTATAAAAGCGGCCAAGGCCCACATTTCTGACCACTAGACTACTACGTGATTCTAATAACCTTGGAGACCATTATAAACTTTAGGCTTCACATCTGACTGTTTCAACAGATCAATGACGAGCTGCTTTTGCTCTTCGGACAACTCGGTACGAGGGAATTCAACATCAAATGTGACATAAAGAACGCCTCGTTGGTTATTGTTTGTTAGGTTGGGCATCCCTTCGTCCTTCTTCCGCAATCGGGCGCCTGGCCACGTCACCTGAATTTAAGCACTCAGTATTATAAGATTACGAAACTAATTGAGCAGAAGGTTAAAAAGCACTAAACGCCTGATTGGCTGTCCTAGTTTTCGAAAGATCGATAATTTGTTGTAAGTGAGTGAAACTTCAACCACTTCGAATACATTTCTTTGGTAATTCAATAATCATCCCAAGTGAATGCAAGTTGGATTGTTAGACTGCCACTCGGAAACCCTGAGACAATATGGTTTACGCGCCTCGGGATTGACGAAATGTGATCGATCGTCTGAGAAAGAAGCAAATGGACCATTTGGTTTTTAGAGTATTTCTTTTTCCAATCATTTGTTTTTCTTTGTTTCTATAAGGATAAGGGCAAAATCTGGGGAAGGGTCAACGACTGCTGATGGCGACGCTGCCGTGGAATAATATTCCTATACAGCCGAGAAAGAGGGTAGCCAGGCGGAACTACTTTCACAAGGCCCTTAAAATCTCATAAGTTTTCGGCTTGCGTATGCGCCATCATGTCTACGTAGCGCGGATAACCGTCCGATCTTTCCGCTTATTGTTACTATCTTTCGCATATGATATAGTGTACTTCACTGCGGACGGTTGAGTGTGTCAGGCGGGAATGAGTTTGGCGCGGTGCCGAACCCGTTCTCCACCAGTTGTTAAAGCGAGCAAGTGATATGACTGTATCATATCGTTCGTATTACTCGTTTTCTACCACTTTTTGTCGCATGCGCGCTTCAACAAGAAGGCAGAGAACGGCTTTGACGGCGAATGGACACACTCACACTGCCTGACACGCCCAACCGTCCGCAGCGAAGTAGAGTGTAGGTAGCTCTCATTCTTGAGAGCCACTCTGAAACGTCAGCGCCAGGAACTGTAATATGTTTGCATCTTTCGCACATTCTAGGTCTCTGAGAGAACTCGTTCCTGCAAGCCTGCCGAAAACCAAATTGAGACGAAAGCCAGAAACATTCTCTAACCGCTAGAAGTAAACCTAAGTAAGCTGTAAACGGGAAGGAGTAATGAGAATGCGTAGTTTTTGGGTTACATTCCAACTTTGCTACTAATGCAAAAATTACGTGCATAGTAAATAAAAATAGCAAATAAATAATAAAATAGTGACAAAGCCGCAGTCGTACAAAATCACTCACCTTTTCGCGTTCCACAGTCACCTTATGACCATCAAGATGTTCTATCTCCATTTTGAAGCCATTTAGAGCATCTTGAAGTGAGATCGTCACGTTAGTGTAGAGGTCATCACCCTTCCGTTCAAATCTGAACAGTAATTTGCTTGGAATGTCAATGGTAAAAAATAAGCAAGAAGAAGCAGTAAAAAATACCTGGGGTGTTTCTCAACATTTATTCTGATCTTCAAATCGCCAGGTTCCCCTTCAATGTGAGGTTCGCCTTCGCCAACAAAAACTTGTTCATGGCCGTCATGTGCTCCGACCTCGACTTCAATCTAGAAAAGTTCCAATATTTCTGGTCTGAAATCATGGGGTTGGTTCAACAGTACCTCTAATGTTCTCGTTTCCTGAGTGAGCACAACATTCGGGCACTCGTCACATACCTCAACCTGAAGAACAGCATTAGCAAATTAGGAGGAAATGAAACAACTAGAAAGAGCCGTTCGAAAATGGGATTGGAATTGGATAAATGATGTGCAGCATTAGAGCTCAAATTTCTGAGTAGCACAAGAGCGCGCAAAATCGTCTGGAACTGGAATCTAGCTGAATTTCACGAACAAACTTTTTTCTGCTATTCTGCTTTTTCTGCTTCTACAACTAGACAGCGAGCAATCCAATCAACAAGATCATTTCAGCACGGGAATTAAATAGCTATGGAAAGGAATCCTTCTTCCATTATGGTTCATCAATGTTCGCTCACCCAATAACGTTTTAACATTGGGACCACCAGCTACATTTTGTTGGGCCTGATATCTTCTTTGGGAGATTTGGTCGATCAGTGCAAGAAGCTGTTACCATTCACTGATCCCGCAAGGGTCCTGCAGAGGGGCAGAGTTTACTACTTTGGAGGAAAGGCTACCGTGGCTGCGCAGCGATCCACCCCTCCCATTTTCAGCCATCGTGACTACGATACTACACTGTGGCTGTGAATCGCTCTAGTTATCATGCAGTTTGCATTTGGGTACAACTAAATTGAACATTCGTTCCTCCAATGTGATTGTGGAAGGTGGAAATGCACAGTAATTCAATGGGTGGTCGCCAAGCAGCAGATAGTAGTGACCATAGTTGGGTATTCTCTAAAATCCCGTCAAATGGTGATGAATGGTAATTGATTTTAATTATCCTATTTATGATGATATTGTTGTACTCAAGAGTACGCAGGGGCTAGCAGCCGAGAGCCCGTTTTAAGCTTTCTAGAGGTCTCACAAAAAAATTAATCAGGTCCCTAGATCAGAAGGACAACGTCAGAAATCAGCAAGGGTGAATGGCTAACTGACTTGGTACATTTGGAATCGTCCCATTCCAATTTGTTCCGTGCGCATTTCGGCCCGACAGCGACACTTCCTCGTTCCTGATGTTTGTTTGTAAACGGCTTTCTTCCGTTTCACTTCCACGAAGTGACCGACATAAACTTCTTCCAAAGAGACGAACAAGTCGAAAACGACGTCAGCTCCCTGAACAGATAAAGAATAATATGGATCGAAATTTGGTTGTATGAAGAGTAAAGCATACCCTAAGCCTTTCTTCTTCTCCGTTATCGTGGTGACCACCTCCGAAAAAGTCGCCGAAGAATGAGGAGAAAGTCATGCCACACTCCAACACGGCGACATCTTTTCATCCTCCCTCTCCCCATGTCTGTCATATCCGCGCCGTTTCTTTGTCGGAAAGTACCTAAATCTAAAGAATTGATTTAACAATTAGCAGCAAAAAATCGAGTGATGACAAGTTCACAAGGCGATGAGCACGTTGTTCTCCAGACTATCCACAGGATAAAACTCCGAGAGAAAAATTATCAGTTTTTTAGAGTGCAAATGAAGTGACACAGTGAGTAGCTCAAACAAACAAGAAACGAATTTTCAAAAGAGGAAGCCTGAAAATATCTGACGCTCTTGAAAATTTCATTTCGTACATCATTCTGCAACCATACCTATGCCACCCAATTTTACCGAAAATGCTTCACCAGTGCAACGACGAAAGAAAAGTAGGATAAAATGGTGTGACGTTAAGAAAATATGGTGTTCATCATTCGTTTGGCAAATCACGAGTGTAGAATGCGTAAGTAAGCAGCAGACTTAGAAGAATGGCCCACCTCAATGAATGCGTAAGGTCGCAATCATACTTTGCGACTCGGGAGCATTGGCATTCAGAACGAAGGAGTTTAGGCATCGATCTAAGTCTTTACGAGAATAGAAGACTGGTCGATTGTCGCCGCCTCCTAACACACTATTCCCGACACTACTCCCTTACAAGCGTTTCGGATTTTGGGACACAGCTTGCTCCTGTAGAACATAAATTTGAGGAGTACGTAGGAAGGTGGGCCCATCGTGTTCGTGATCAGGGCACCGAATACACATTGCTTTACTTTACTTTATTGTAGTCAGTCACAGAAAGGGTACCGTTGGTAAAACAAACAATTAAACAACCCAACTGACATGTAGGAAAAGCTAAAAAGAAATAAAACTAAGGAACATAATAGAGAACAGCGCTAGATCAGGACCTACTCCCCCATTCGTATGATAACACTTAATGACCCTAATGTGGCTAAGGCACACGCAAAATCCGTTGCTATGGTCGCGGTATGGATAGTGAGACAACAAGTGACGCTTGGCCCTGGATACATTACGGTGGAAAAGTGGGCGAAAAATGACATTCAGGGTGGCGACCAAACAGAAAGGATACTTACTGCTTCCCAATGTTTCGTTCTCCGGACACCCTACCTGGACACTAAACATTCACCCTGTTTTGATTGTAAAACTTCACTGAATATCACGAGGTTACATGGGAAACACAAATTCTGAATGACAACCTGGAAATGACTAGATGTACAAATCCCACTCCACAGGCGCCTACACCAAAATACCCTAAGTCACCAGCGGCTGAAAACTTGTCTCCAGAGAAAGTTCAAACCATTGAACATGTAGATCACATCCATTTGGCATAAGACCGTCTGAAACCTGTTTTGCAGGAGACGGCACGACTTGCCTGTTGTGCCGTCGCCATTTTGTGCCAAGTGGTGAGCGGACACTAGGGGAACACGGCGATACAAGGTAGTACCCTTTCTAAACGGCGATACAAGGCAGTACCCTTTCTGGCTGCTTGCAATAGCAGACCTTCCCATTGGGGCTCAGTCCTAGCAATGGAAGGGATGAAGAAGCAGAACACTGTAACGTGTACTCCTTCCCCCATCCTAAACTCCTTGGCACCCTTGTAAATGTGGTATTCAAGAAGTCTTCCCTCAGGAACGAGTTTTCAACGAATTGAGTGACTTGAGGTTTTTTGACATTGGCGCTTGTGGCGCGGTGGTCAGGCGGTTTCGTGTCAGAT